AAACCCCGAACCCCCTCCTCCCCTCCAACTTACGTACGTAAATACGTAAACCATTCAAAATATCACTTTCGTTCCTCTTCACCGGACACCGGCGAAACTTTTTAAGTCGAGTTCCGCAACTCTAAAACTTAAAATTTCACACTCGGTTTGACCATCTGACATTATGATCACGTGTGAGAAAATCAGAAAGTCTCGAAGTGGGCGCAATAGGAGCCATTTGCGTGTTCGCGCTCTTTTCCACTCAGTGTAGCCACCACCGAAACAATAACATCTGAAGCTCCCTCCGGGGAAAAAGGGGCCAAATATTTCAAATTAGTCCGTAGCGAACGAAAAGGGGAGACTGGGTCTCCCTTAATTATAGATGTTTAGGCAAACTCGCATTCCGTCATCGGTACAGCCGTTTTCGAGAAAAAGACGAACGTACACACGGACAGACAGACAGACTCACGACCGAGACAACACCTGACCCCTCAGCAACTTGGACTGAGCTTCGCTCAGCGATCAACACACATAGCGGGGTCTGACCGCGCAAAACACGCCTACGAACGACCGCAGCGCGCTCTCTCGGGAATTGCTGGCAACGCTATAACGCGACATAATCGTTATAACCGTAACATTTTTACCTTGCACTGGTAAAACAAAATGTAGAAAGTTGCACACCAAATGATGTGCAGTATCAAGGGTGCAAAAACTAAACACTTCACGATGTTGAACTCAACTAGACGTCAATTGGTGTGCAAATATTAGACGTTTTATTTACGTTTTGATAACTGCACTGAAAAAACAAAGCTGCTATCTAATGCCTTTTAAAGGCGTTAGTGAAATAGATCCTCCAGAAAGGTGCTGCTGCCCCCCAAAGGTGCTATTTTTGTTACAAATCGTTCCTCTAAAAAGGCACTAGTGCAGCAGCACCCCTTAAAATTCAATAGCACCCTTAAAAGGGTGCCTTTAATTTTCCAGTGTAGTGTTCAATATTTGCACACTACTAAGTGTGCGGCTCAGTTTGACACCATGTAATGTGCAAAATCATCAGTTGAACACTTAAGGGTGCAATATTTGCACACTTGTATTGTGGACCTGCTGACCCGGGGCGGGGATCAGTGGCGCCACCGAGGCCGCCACACGTCTATGGGTGCAGGGCCAGGGCCAGGGCTAGTGCCGGCTGGGCGGACCTCTCAAACAAAAGGAACCGGAAACAAATAATAATCGCCATCTTTTGATATGTTGTATAATATAAAAAAATATATCCAAAGATGAACAAAATCGGATAATATTTAGTGGTGGTGCAGCGAGCTTAAAGTTTAACCCACAAGTCTTATGGGACATTCTATGCAAAAACGAAAATTTGGACTTGACATGCCGTATGGCCGTCTATGACCGGCCATTGCCGTAGAATTTTTCACCAATTTTGTTAAAATTTGACCTCAAACAGCCAAAATTGAGGATATTTCTATGGCAATGGCAGGTCATAGACGGTCATACAGCATGTCGTTAGACTCGGTTTTTGACGTACAATCTGATTTAGAAATCAGTTTCGATGTAGGACAAATATTTTGGAGTCCAGTTCAAATTTTCGATTTTGCATAGAATTTCCCATAAGACTTGTGGGTTAAACTTTAAGCTCGTTGCGCCACCACTAAATATTATCCGATTTTGTTCATCTTTGGATGTATTTTTTTCTTCGCACATAAGAACAGGATGACGAGTACTCTGACACTCCAACTCATACTTGTGGGGAAAAAAATCACCCTATCGCTTGGCATACATCTACCTAGGCCTGCGGCGCTGACACTGGAGTTGGGCAAAAGGCACTGTCGTAAATAGGCCTTCGGCCCCAAAAGCCACAAATTTTGTGCCTCAGGATTTAACTTTGACGAGTTACCCTACCGGAGACCATAAAATATCTGAGGAAAACCATTAAAATGTTTTGGGGTGAATTTCGTGTGAAGAACGCCCTCTGGCGCCCAAATGGTTAGAGGTACGGCCAAACGAGCGTTTTAGTCCGAGAGTTTCACTTTGACGAGTTCCCTCTAAGAAAGATGTCGAAAAAAAAGTTTTTTATTAGAAATGTTTTGAGCTATTTGTTTTTGATTTTTTTGACACGTCCATTTTGAGCCAGATGGCTCAAAATCAAAACAGTTCTTCCTTTTCATGATACAAAGCTACAATAAAAATTAGAGACTTCCTAGCGACCTCACAGCGTGTATACTAGTTTTGCTTTTGTTTTTTTTGTGTGTTTTTTTGACTCAATAATATCTGAAATTATCGGAATGACATCTTGATTAATCTTTATCTTTCCTTAGATACCGAAAACACCTTTCGAGATACAATTCTCCAAATTTCGCAATAGATGTGCATCACCGTTGGACGACACTCCACACGACACTTTATTTCCCACGACGCATTTTGCTTGTGGATTATTTTGTACACAAACAAACAAAAATCATATTGTCAAACAAAGAATAAAATGGTAGGATCAGGGGGCTGATGGGCTTCACAGCGAATGAGATTCAAAACAATTTAGATTGCTGAACTTATTTCTGAATGCGTGCTTTAGTACTCGTATCTGACGAAGAGAGGTGAGCGGTTCGTTTGTAGGCATAAATGAGTTCGTGACACGTACTGTTACACGGAATACACATGACCCCCACGCAAGAGTTTGCTGTCAACGGATATGAAATACAACAGAGCTGCATTAAAAAAATGTTGTGAAAAGCTGTACGTTCAATGGACCGGACTGGACATGTCACGAGCAACGTGGGAACGGACTGGAATAAAATGTTGCATCGCGTGCAAGAGCTCAGTCTTAGGCTCCGCTGCAAGGGATAATGTGAGCTATTTATGTGGGCATACTTGTAAAGTAAGAGTGTTGTCCGAGGTTCAGAACTAGCGTGATAGGGGGGAAGGGAGGGAGGCTATGGAAAAATTGTCGTGCCAGTTAGTAGAACATATTCCGTGGAAGATGTACAAATTTAATGGAAATTTGTATAATTTAGGAGCCCTGCCTATCGACTTGGCATCGAATGACGAGTCAGAGTGGGAGGTTTTCTATGAACGACTCGTTCTTAAATGACAAAAATTACAAAATGTGTCCTATTTATAGGTACCTTCCTTTCAGTGGGAAAGGTTGTATAGTTTGCAGCACACAAGCCTTTGTGTAGTCTCTAGGATCATTGGCTAAGCAATTAGGAAAGCCTATTACTCGGTCTGGTCGGAAAAAAACTTTCTGGCTGTGTGTGTGTCTGTGTGTCTGTGTGTCTGTGTGTCTGTGTGTCTGTGTGTCTGTGTGTCTGTGAGCACAATAACTCGGCAGCGAATTAAGCTAGCGACCTGGGATTTTCAGGGTCGTTTTGTGTTATAACAAGCAGGCCCGCCCTTCCACCACACGAAGTTGCCAGCTTCACTCCTCCCCGCAGGCAACTCCGTTCGGCAGGAGCCGGGCCTGCTTGGCCTGCCAGCTAATAATCTGAATTCTTACGCAGGTTTTCATTCTGTATGATCTCACGGTTACTAAAAGCTCTTCTTTTGCCAGTGTGCTTCCTTCTGCTCAGTGATGCGCGCTTAAGTGGGCAGGTAAAGTAAATAAAAGAAAAAAATGTTGGCAAACAAAAGTTATCTTTATTTAAGCAGCTGTTAATAGTTTGGACAGAGACGCACTGGTGGAGCAAGAAAGACGGTCCTCTCGCCTCGGATCCTCCGCCTTGAGCATTGCCCTGGATCTGGTACAAAGCATTTTGTATATTTCCACAACTACACCTCAGTGGTTGATGAGCGTGGCATCGTTTACCTCAGCGTCGTTATGGAATTCTTTAAAACAGCCAAGTCGCTCTCGATGGTGAGTGCATTACTAACGCTATCGAGGAGTCGTCGACACCTATTTGCCGAGTACGAAATAATTTATTGCTAATAGAGGTGACACTAAAATAGTAGAGGTAACAATTGGCTGAGCGATTAGCGAAGCCCATTACTCCACTGACCGGAAAAGTTTTTAGCTCAGCGATGAGCGAAGCCTATTACTCCGTCTGGTCGGAAAAAACTTGTTCTGTCTGTCTGTCTGTGTGTCTGTGTATCTGTCCGCACGAAAACTCGAAAACGAATTGAGCGAGCTACCTGGGATATTCAGGGTCGTTTTGTGTCATAAAAAGACAGATCGAGTTCGCAGATGACCATTCTAGCTCAAAAATTTGATTTTTTAAAAATCAAAAATAACAGGCAACAAAATCCTTTTTTTCCAAATATTTTTATGGTCTCCTATTGGGTAACTCGTGAAAATAGAAATCTACGGACGAAAATTTCGTCCGTTTTGCTCTATCTTGCACCGTTTGGGTGCATAAAAAGACAGATCGAGTTTGAAGATGAGCACTATAGCTCAAAAATTGAATTTAAAAAAAATCAAAAACCACAGGACGCAAAATACTTGGTAGATGTACGCCAGACCACGTCTCGCGTAACAGGATTCGCGATATCTCACGAAACACTGTTGCGCTGCGACGCGCCTGGCATACATCTACCTAGGCCTGCGGCGCTGACACCTGAGTCGGGTAGCGCAAAAAAGTGCACAAAGATACGGGCCGTCAACTTCCCGTCACTTGACTAAACATGCAGGGTTGTACATTTTTCGCTTGTTTCCGTCAAAAACTCCCTGTGGCGCCTAAATGGTTCAAGATAGAGCCAAACGGACGAAATTTTCGCCCAAAGTACTCTGCTTTAATGAGTTACCCCTTAGGAAACTGTAAAAATACTTTTAAACAAGCAGGCCCGCCCTTCCGCCAAACGAAGTTGCCAGCTCCGCTTCGCTCCGCCGGCAACTCCGTTCGGCAGGGTCCGGCCCTGCTTGGCCTGCCGGCGGCGATGGTCGGGCCTGCGGCCCGACCATTTCTGTCACGCGATTTGCTGCAGAACATAATCAAATGATGAAGCGGGCCTTCGGCCCGCTTAAACCCGTCGTCTTTGAGTTTGCCCCAAAGACTCGAGAAAGGGATGTAACGGTGAAGCACCGCGACTGCAACCCACCCTTCTGCTTAGAAAACGTGTTTTGGGGGTGGGGGGAGAGTCACCTTTCCATTTTGCGGTTTTTAGGCCTTTCACTACAACTTATTGTTCACTATGGCAATTTTTAGCTTATTTTCGACAAAAAAGACCCTCTAGCGCCTAAACGGTTAGAGATGGAGCAAAACGGACGAAATTTTCGCCCAAAGGGCCCTACTTTGACGAGTTACCCCTTAGGAGATCATAAAAAAAAATATTTTTTCCAACTTTTTTGGCCTTGCCTGTTTTCTTCGATACCCCCTTTCAGCCCCTTAGGGGTGGCTGACAGGATTTGCCGTAGGCGTTTCGTTCTCTAGAAGTGGACCTTAAGATACCCTGAAAATTTTAAGTCTCTAGCACATCTCCTTCTAGTGGAACAGACAGACAGACAGACAGACACGAGGTCGTTTGCATAAGCCCGCTGGATAGCTTTTTCAAAGCAGAAGGGCGGGCTAAAAAACATTATTTGTGGGACCTGTGCTTTTTTTTTTTTAATCCAATTTTTGAGCTAGAATGCTCTTCTTTGAACTCGATCTGTCATTTTATAACACCAAACGACCCTGAAAATCCCAGGTCGCTAGCTCAATTCGTTCTCGAGTTATCGTGATGACAGACAGACACACAGACAGACAGACGCGAAACCTTTTGATCATCACTGGAGTAATAGGCTTCACTAATCGCTCAGCCAATGAGCTTATCGAAAAAAATATCATGGTAATATAATGTGTAACATCGATGTAATGTCGTACTCAAGTTTTATTTAGTGCCTTACTTCCAGATGAAAGTCAAGCTACACAAATGCCGTGAGGCAGTTACGTCAAACACATGCGAATACTTCGCCACTTGGCCGTTTTCTACAGCCATCTGTAGCTTCATCACGATGAAGGGGTTTATGTGGAGTAAATTTTTACGAGCGATATCACCCGAATTTAAATGCCCTTTATTGCCGGTAAGTCTGAGGTGATGGGTCCTGAGCCAGGCAGGTTGGGCTGAGAATCCATCAGGTGCGGCAGATCAGTCTGTTCATTAAGAAATGTCATAACGCATTGAAGGTGCTTTACTCTGTGTGCTGTTGTGTACTCTCCTTTCCTGATTTGGCTGTTTCTTGTGTTGAGGAGGCAGGCCCTTACATGTTTTAAAACATGTCGAGTGTAATAGAGGAGTGCGAAGCGAGGAGTTTGCCGTCGAATCAGATCTAATCTTATACATTTTCATTGAACCGAATTAGCCAAAAACCTTTTAGTCTAAGGTATCGAGTTGGATTCATTAACGCAATAAAGAAAATCAAAATCAATGAATGAATTCAACTAGTATGAGTCTTCTCTTGAATATAGGTTTCTGATTTCCTGAAATTTACAAAGTATGCGGTTTTTCCAATGGTGTGGTTTGTCATAGTCGAACGGATCCTATTCGAAGTTTTGAATTTACGGATGTCGAAGGCGGCTACGAAAAAGGAAATTTTCCTGTACCGCTCTTACAAGGTTTTTTCTGTTTCAAAAAAATAGTAACGTATGAATGATTACCTTTCAGGAACTGTTATGTGATTTCTTTGACAGATGAACTACACCCTTACTAACGGGACCCTGGATTTGTCGTTGGGGGAAACCATGGCGCACATCAACATTGCTGGCAATGTCTGGGACACAGAAGTGGAATTCTACGACCAGGATAAAGAACTTTTTAGTTGCGTAAAAGCACTTGTCCTCATTAACAGAGTGAACATAAAGGATCGATGAGTAATATTTTGTTCGACTGCAAAACTGTGGCCACCCGCCTAATAATACAGAGCCGCTAGCATACCACTTGGCGGTGTCACACGGAAATTTTGTGTCGAATAAACATAATTCTCAGTACCACATTTTTTAACTGCTGTTCTAACACCAAGGACTGGTTATGGGGTTACACTTGGCATGAGCGTACTTTTAATAAAATAAAATAAATGGTTTCTCATTAAATCTTGCAATATAAAAGGCCCACTAACAACAAAATTGTGTAGACGAAATACACAAAACATCACAAAATTTTGTATCTACGTGAACTCAAAGGGAACTTGTTACCTGGATCAGTCCTATCTAGTAGTGGTTTTACTTCATAGCAGGGAAAATAAACAAAACCCATCGCACTTTGTATTTTCCTTCTAAATTTGGCTGAAATTTCCCTGGCTTGACTCCGCCTGCTGCTCAGCTCGTCATTTCCATGGAAACTCGTGGATGCAAACTCAAATTTCTCAAATTTCCTAACAAAGAATTGCATTCGGGATCGTACCCATACAACGTGACCGGTTTAAGGGGGGGGGGGGGGTTCGGCAAAATACTACAATTGATCACGTGGGGGGAGGAGGGGGGGTCGGCCGAAGTCACGAAGTATTATCAGCACTGTAAAACCTTTCTTCCCCGAGTAAAAATGAGCAACGTATAGGTAGGGTACCAATAAAAACGTTAACACTTCGTGTAAACTGCGAAACGAACCCATGATAAAGAAAACTGAATTATATATCCTAATGTAAATAAAGAAGTAAACATTTTTAGTTGTACGGGGTATGCTTGGCCTATGCTGTCAGCCCGTATTGCGTCTTGGCCCCTGCCCCCTGCGGCATGAAATGGTATGCAAACCCACAACACTGAACATAGAGGTGTTCGCTCTGACCGAGGGGACCGAGGCATTGACCACCTGGTACCTCTATTTAAACAATGCTGTCGGTGTGGTAGCACGAATGTGTGCACCGTGGAAAGTTCGATTGACCACCAGAAAGCTTGGTGGCTGTATAAACATTCTAGAAATTTACTTCATTTAGCTCTCTGTTTTGGGTTTGGGTGCACTGTCAACAAAGGGGCGGCGGGAGTGGCCTCGAGCACAGTGTCTATTGTTGGCGGTACTTCGTGTTAACTGAAAAACAACCCCCTGTTTAGGAATTTAATTGGCATACAAAAATTGAAGTTAGTAATTTTGAAGTTGGGATTATTAAGATTTGCGGCAAAAATAGTACGGAAATGGCGTAGACAGCGTACACCGAATATTGTACAGAACCGTTACGTTACGTCTCAAGCTACGTCTTACGCTACGTCTTACGTTTTATGAAGACGTAACGTAAGACGTAACGTATTACGTAACGTAAGGCGTAACGTCTTACGTAACGTAAGACGTAACGTAAGACGCAACGTAAGACGCAACGTAAGACGTAACGTAAGACGTAACGTAAGACGTAACGTAAGACGTAACGCAAGACGTAACGTAAGACGTCGCACAGTGCTAATTGTTGGCAGTACTGAGGTAATGTGGAATTGAGATGCAACAGGTGGTCGCGGCGACGTGACGCTCTGGCCCCCGCGCGCGGCCCGTGTGGTAGAAACTGGTTTGTTTAAAAATAATTTTTGATTTCTCAAAATATTCATTTGGTTCCTCGTAGTGGACCTAAACATGAGTTCTGCCAAAAAAAAAAAAAAAAAAAATTGAGCCTGAGATCTGCCGATTTGGAGGTTGCGCAAAGCTCCCAAAGTTTCATTTTATTTCTTTTATTTTCTTATTAAGGGAAAATGTTGCAGCGGCATAAAAATGTAAAAAATCGACACCTCCTACGCACAAGCAGCTATCTTCTTGAGCTGTGCAGACAAGCAGCTATCTTCCTATGCTGCGCAGACAAGCAGCTATCTGCTGGAGGGTGGCAGACAAACAGCTATCTGTTTTTTGAGGAGGTTAGGGTTGACCTATTCTCCGTCAAATAACTTCTATCAGTGACAAGTTAGGAACATCGGGAGTAAAATTCTATGTTTTGACAAACTAGAGAAAGAAGTTGACGCAGCAGTAGAGTGTCTACGTCATTTGTGGACAGAAATATGAATACCCAAAGTCGCGAGGTGGAAAAAGCAGGTAGCTGTTTGTCTGCGCAGCCCAAGAAGATAGCTGCTTGTACGTAGGAGGTGTCGAAATGGAGCATTTTTGTCGAAAAAAAAATGTTCAAATGTCCTAGAACTAGTTTTTGCTTTAGGTCCAATAACCAAACAAAACTTAAAGGAGCTCTCAAAATAGTTATTTCCTACGCAAACGCAACATTTTTTACATTTTAGCCGATTTTTGGGCGTTTTTTTTCTTTTTCCTTACTTTTTACTCAAAGAAGTAGTGCGCTAGAGACCTTTTTGATTATTGCAAACGAAATAGCATGAAGAGACCTTTATTTTCATGCCTTTTAATCAGTCCTCAGACGATTAGGCGTCCACTGAAACGCCTGGATCGTTTCGCAATGCTGAGAACCCCCCTCCCCCTCTAAATCGCTTTTTTTTTGATACGAGAATCGACGTATGCCTGCAGAAGTGGCGTATATGTGAAGAGGCGCGCAACCCTGGCGGATCTGCGCCGGCCTGGCCAACACTGGCGTATCTGCTTTCCGGTTGATCTGCTCGCAGTCAACTTTGGAGGCGTATTGCTCATTGTAGGTATGTCGTATAGTATTGAGTGATATCAAAACTCAATCACGAGGATATAAACATTGCAATGAGACATCAGTCAATACTGTACGACAAACCTACGGTGAGCAATAGGCCTCCAAAGTTGACTGAGCAGATCAGCCGAAATGCAGATACGCCTGTGATGACCGTCCCTCCCCAGCTCCGCCAGTGTTGGCCGGGCCGGCGCAGACTCGCCAGTGTGTTGCGCACCTCTTCACAGATACGCCACTTCTGCAGGCACACGTCGGAATGGAGGCTACAAATGGACTGGTAGACTCAAACGGACTATGGGAACCGATTCCTTGCGTCAAAATACGTCTAGAGACACCCTGGTCATGTTCTTAAACTATGTAGATGTACGCCAGACCACGTCTCGCGTAACAGGCTTCACCATATCTCACGAAACACTGTTACGCTGCGACGCGCCTGGCATACTTCTACCTTGGCCTGCGGCGCTGACACCCGAGACGGGAAGCGCAAAAATGTTCGCAAAGATACGGGCCTTCGGCCCGTCAACTTCCCGTCACTTCGACTAAGAATGCAGGGTTGTACATTTTTAGCCCGCCCTTCTGCTTTGAAAAAGCTATCCAGCGGGCTTATGCAAACGACCTCGTGTCTGTCTGTCTGTCTGTGTGTCTGTGTGTCTGTCTGTTCCACAAGAAGGAGATGTGCTAGAGACTTCAAATTTTCAGGGGATCTCAAGGTTCACTCCCGCAAAACAAGACGCCTACGGCAAATCCTGTCAGCCACCCCTAAGGGGCTGAAAGGGGGTATCGAAGAAAATAGGAAAGGCCAAAAAAGTTGAAAAAAATATATTTTTATTATGATCTCGGCGAAAATTTCGTCCGTTTCGCTCTATCTCTCACCGTTTGGGCGCTAGAGCGAGTTTCTCTCCGAAAAGTGGCCCAAAGTTAATTTATTAATTTTTGAAAATATTGGATGGTCTTCTAAGAGGTAACTCGTCAAAGTAGAGCCCCCTGGGCGAAAATTTCGTCCGTTTTGCGCTATCTCTAATCGTTAACGCGCTAGAGGGTCTTTTTAGACGAAAATAAGTTAAAAATTGCCATAGTTAACAATAAGATGTAGAAAAGGGCCTAAAACCGCAAAATAGAAAGGAAACTTTCCCCCACCCCCCAAAAAAACGTTTTCTAAGCAGAAGGGTGGGTTGTAGTCGCGGTGCTTCACCGTTACAGTCTTTGGGGCAAACTCAAAGATGACGGGTTTAAGCGGGCCGAAGGCCCTCTACATCATTCGATCATGTTCTTCAGCAAATCGCGTGACAGAAATGGTCGGGCCGCAGGCCCGACCACCGCCGCCGGCAGGCCAAGCAGGCCCGGCCCCTGCCGAACGGAGTTGCCGGCGGAGCGAAGCGGAGCTGGCAACTTCGTTTGGCGGAAGGGCGGGCATGCTTGTTTCGCTTATTTTCGTCAAAAACTCCCTGTGGCGCCTAAATGGTTAAAGAAAGAGCCAACCGGACGAAATTTTCGCTCGAAGGGCTCTTCTTCCTTTAGTTTGTCAAAACATAGAATGTCACTCCCGATGTTCCTAACTTGTCACTAACAGAAGTTATTGGACGGAGAATAGGTCAACCCTAACCTCCTCAAAAAACAGATAGCTGTTTGTCCACCACCCTCCAGCAGATAGCTTCTTGTCTGCACAGCTCAAGAAGATAGCTGCTTTTGCGTAGGAGGTGT